TCATCTCACACCGCTTATCAATCATCATGCCCTGTAAATCAGACACCGGCACCTCATCTCTTGTCGTGGATTTATTCTTTCCTATCATAGAAATCAACCTGACCGATGCTAAATCTGGCGGCACCCAACGAAGATCATCCGCCATCCCCGTGCAATCAACGAACCACCCTACTCTGCTTACTTGAGATCCAGTACAATCGTTTCCATATATTGACTGTTGTCGATCACTTCTGGTTCATAGATCCTCATTTCGCGTCCCAAGTTCCTCCACGCACACGCCAACCCGAAGTTCTAAAGCTGCCGCTCGTTCTCGCCCGACATGAGCCAAGACAAGAGATCCGCCCATCATGAGATGCAATCGCACAGCGAGCCCTCCGGTGATGGGGGAAGGAGGGAAGCCCATGGTACTAAAATTTAAAATTCGAAGACAATATAATGATATATTGAAAATATTTTGATGAAAAACGGAAAGAGATCAAAAGAACAGCTGGCATTTCAAATAGCTAAAATAAAATGTATAAAAATTTGAAATTATAAATAAATTATAATAAAATATGGATTTCCAAATCTTTAAAATTTCATGAATCCAAATAGTGGGTTTAATCTAAATCTAAACCTAATTATAAATCTATCTATCCAAACGTAACATAACTGCAATAACCAGTGAATTGAAGCATCAAGACTCACGCTACAATTAGTCAGGCCTTTTATCTCGCAATTATTATAAATATCCAATGACAACACGAAACGAAAACATAAATAACATTGGCAAGGCCTCTGTCTCCATGAGCACAATATTATGTCAATGACAAGTATATTAATTAAAAAATGAGGAATATTATATACTTCCTCCATTAAAAAATATTTATTGAATGTTTAAAAATATATGACATTTTTAATCTTTTAAAGTGTAATCATTATATTTTTTTTTCTAAAAGTGCCCCTATTGATGAATGACTTTATATTTATTGTAGGGTGTTTAATAGGGGTAAATATAAAAAATGAGATTAATTTAAAAATAAATAACTACTTTATTGAAAATAAAATTTGTTTAAAAATAATTTATATTTTTGAATAAAGAGACTACTTACATTCAACAGACATATATATATAGATTATATATAAAAGTGTGTGTATGTATGTGTACACTTGGAAAGAAGTTTAGAGTTGCCGTTAATTTGGACTAGAAACTGAACAAAATATAATTATAGCTTGCATGCTTATATAACGAATATTCATTAATATATATATATATATATATATATATACACACACAAATCTTGTAGCTTCAATTTAATTGGTTAAAAAAATTGACTCTAATTGGTTAATAAATTTTAGGTTAATTTTAACATGAAAATTATATTTCTCTTAATTCATTAATGAGATTTAATTTATTTTCAGTCTACTTTCATAAGAGCAATCTTATTTTTAAAATTTTCAAATTGTTAGTATTAACTCCATCCGGTTATCCTTCTCCACTCACTATACTTTTATATGCCTTTTCAATTTTCCTGATCAATAAAATTTAATTTCATGATCTTGGTCTTTTAAATTGTATATGTTTTACCATATATTTCACACTTACAAGATAAAGCAGCAACTTTTCGTCTTTTCATATTAAAGAAGCAAGGTAGAAATGATTTGACAAATAATAAAGATTCAATTTTTTGACCATACATACATACATACATATATATAAAAAATATATATATATCTCTTTCCTTCTTGGTGAGGAAGAGGTAAGAGTGTGCTTTCTAATGCATTTTAGGCACAAATTCTTTTCTTCATTCTAACCTTTTAATATTTATATTTATAATATTTATAAATATTAAAAAGTTTAATAATTTAAAATATTAGCAATAAAGTTTAAATTTAGCCAAAAACAATATGTATACAAATGAAATAAAATATTAAAGAAGAAAAATGATTATATAGATGAACTCTCAAAAACTTAGTCATCTCATATTTATCAATATCAATTATATTGATAATATTTTTTTTAAATTCCTTAATTCCAACTCGTATAATGCTTGAAAAGTTGTCTAATCATCAATATATATTAACAAATCTTGTAGAAAGCATCTTATTAGTCAAATTTTGAGCTTAGTCATTGGTCATTTTATCTTAACTAAAATTTAATTATCTTCTCTCATTGGTTCAATCAATTTTTCATGTGGCCTCTCCTATTTTCACAACTTAGATGGGAACATTAACTGACTGTATTTTCTTGCCCATGTTTGTTGAATTTCCCCATATGTTTTGGTTTTTCTTTTCAAGTCATCTTATTATCATCATCAATGTCAATGCCAAATTATATATATACACAAATCTTGTAGCTTTAATCTGATTAGTAAAAAAAATTAACTCTTATTGGCTAATAGATTTTAGGCTAATGTTAATATAAAATTTTCTCTTCATTGATTAATGAGATTCAATTTATTTTTCATGTATTTTCAGTCTACTTTTACGGGAATATTGATTCAAGAGTAGTCCCATTTTTAAATTTTTCTAATCATTAACATTAACTCTATTTGGCTATTTTTCTTCATTTGCTATACTTTCTCATGCTTTTTCAATTTTTTTGATCGATGAGATTTAATTTATTTTTCATGTATTTTTAGTTTACTTTTACAGGAGCATTGATTCAAGAACAATTTTATTTAAAAAAATTGACTTTCATTGATTGACATGAAAATTCATTTTGATTCATTAATGATATTTAATTTATTTTCTTATTTTTTATATATTTTCAATCTACTTTTACAGGAGCATTGATTTAAGAGTAATTTTATTTTTAAATTTTCCTGATAATTAGCATTAACTCTATCTAGCTGTCTTTCTTCATTTGTTATACTTTCTCATACCTTTTTAATTTTTTTATCAATGATATTTAATTTATTTTTCTATTTTTCATATATTTTCAACCTACTTTCACAAGAGTATTGATTCAAGAGCAGTCTCATTTTCAAATTTCCTTGATCATTAGTATTAATTTCATCCAACTATCCTTCTGCATTCCTTGTACTTTCTTGTGCCTTTTCAATTTTTTTGATCAATGAGAATTAATTTCTTTTCCTATTTTTCATGTTTTTTCCTGACTCGTTGTACTCAATATCAATTAATTCTGATAAACTATCATCCATAAATATTGTCTGTAAAAAGAAAAAAAAAAGGATATAAAAAAAGTTTGAGTTTGATTTGCATCATCAATCCTTATCTCATGATCTTAGCCTTTCAGATTGTGCATGTTTCACCATACATTTTGCGTTGACAAGATAACATAGTGACTACTTAAATACTCTAAAAAAGAAAAACTTGGGTGGTAAAAGCCTCTTTTTGGTAGCACTTTTGTTTTACACATAAAAAGAAGAAGAGGAACCAAAAAATACAAAAGCATAGAATACAATTAAAAAAAGAGGGATGCCTCTGGATTATTTCTTATATTCATATTTATAGAAATATAATTTATATCATAATTCATAAACTAGTGTGTAATTTTTTTACATAATCAAAACTAAGGGGTTATTGAGAATTCTAAAGAAGTATTTTTTTGAGCCAATATTTTCTAAGCACTCTAAAAATAGATATTTACTATACAGGTTTTTCACTAGATGCTTGAGAAATAAAGATGAAATGTTTATCAATGAAATATGCAAAAAGAAAAATGATTGAATAGAGTAATTCTTGAAAATTTAGTCATCATAGATATATCAATATCAATTATATCAATGATATTTTATTTTAATTTTTTTAATTATAACTCATACAATGTACAAAAATTGTTTAGTCTTCATTAAAAGAGCTTGAGCTTTCAGACATGTATTTATAATATTTTATCAAAATTTTTGAGGACCATTTATGGAGATGCGCACGGGTGACATTAGAATGGTGGGAGGACACAGTGGTCTTATACATAGAGGCTTTATTTGATTTAAAAAAAAAAAAGGAGAAGGGAGAGGATGGAGGGGAAGGAAGGTGAGGGGAGGGAGAGGGGAGAGAAAATTTTAAAAAATCTCCCCCTCCCTTGCCCCAATGGGCTCCAGGGCCCATATCTCTTAGAAGTTACTGGACCTATTGGCCCATTTTACTCGGCCCAGCTGTGACGTTGACAATGATGTGAAAATAAGCAACACCGAATGATGTTCAGGGGGTTCCATCACAGGTTATGCCATGGCGTGGCGGAGAATCGAGGATCTCTGAGACATCCAAAGAAAATGTGAAGACAATATTATAAAGTTGACTAAAAACAATCGACTCTCGCTGACCAAGAAAATTCACGGAACTTTCCTCAATATGCTTCTAATCAAGCAATGGATTGTCAAGAAAATTAAGAAGACTGAATATTCATTGGTGAAAATAATACAACGTTACAAAGAAATCTTTCACTTGAAGGATTGTAAAACCAATACCAAATTATGGGATTCAACATTGAACTCCAAACTTTGAGGTGAGACAATGAGATGAGGACCAAATTGATTTTCCTATTTTCTAATCCAAAGTTATGCCTTTCATATACACATTTGGGTCACTAACCATCAAGTGATTAACACCCAATCACCCTCTAATATTCCAAAAACATCTTAGTAAATGGTCTTCGAAAATAATGAAAAAAATATATTATATATACATACATGCGTGTCGAAAGTCGAAACTGAGACTCCCAACACCTCTCCAAGCTGATGAGGCAATGATTTATTATTATCCCCACAGCAAGTCACTGAGTTAATATGTCCATAAATAGTTTCGTTGAATTTGTACGTGAAGCTTTTTTTCTCCCTGCCACATGTTTGGTTGGTGGGGAAAGGGACGGAGATTCTTATAAATTCAATTTCTAAATACTTTCGTTGACTGCGAAACCACATGAAATGTAAAATATTCGACCCTGAAAGTGCCCTCTCGATGTCTTCAAGAAATGGTGTTCCGATCCAATAATTCTGATAAAAAAAATTATAAATACGTTTGAAAACTGAACGTCCCTCCATCCATCGTCTGCAAGTTGTGGCGATTGTTTATTCCAAGAGGCAACAAGACTGAGCAAAGGGAGATAGATAATTAAAACAAGTGTTGACCGTCGAATATCGATGTTCTTGAATTAGAACTTTTTTGCTGTCTCTCTAGTGTGTAAATCAAATCAGCTGACTGATCAGTTTCAGATGCAGACATGGGAGGCGTGGGCGAGCTGTTCGTCGGTGCTGCTCTAGGAACCGTGTTTGCAGAGTTATGCGGCTCAGTGAAGGACGCCAAGAACCGTCTCAAAGACTTCAAGAAGAGATTGCAGGACCTGGACGTAACACTCCAAGATCTAGATCCAATGGTGAAAGACATACAAAACTTGAATGCACAGCTGAAGCGATCTGATCAGCGTGAAGTGGAGCGTTTAAAGTCACTGTTGGAAAAGGGTGCGAAGCTGGTTTCCAAGTGCCTTCCCTTACGAGGACGAGACTTTATCAAGAAGATATATTACCACAAGAAGTTGGAGGAGCTGGACAACGACATCATCAGATTCAATAATAAACACACCCAATTGGCCACATTTCGGGACGTCAAGCTTCTACACTTGAAGGTCGACAAACTCTCCGATCAGATTCAAAACCTACAACCTTCCGGTTCCGGAGGCGGTGGTGGTGGTTCCGGTGGACCGATATATCGGGGAGCTCCCGTTGTAGCTCCTCCACCTTATACCGGAGTTCCAAGGCTTAACATACCGGGGCTCATTCTCTTAATTATTCTCCTTTATGTTACCGGAGCTGGAATAGTGAAAATTATTTTCTGTGTGTTTTTGCTTATCTGCAAACTCGTCTTGTCGTTGCTTGAAACTGACACAGGTGTGGCGATGATCATAAACGACGCCGGTACGCTGAAAACGACAATAAAAAATCTGAAGGCTACTATGAAATCACTGGCTGCGGTGCTGGAGGAGATAGAGTCATCAGGTAATTACAAACAACGAGGGCTGAAAAACGGAGCAGAGGGAAGAGAAATTGGTGAAAGACTGAGACGATTGATGGAAGAAGGTGAGAAGCTGGTTGTGAAGGGCTCCAAGATAGGGTCGTGGAACATTGTGAAGAACTGGGAGTACCAGAAGAAGATAGTGGAGCTTGATCACACTCTCTTGAGGTTCCATAGCCTTCACCTGCAAGCTCGTTTGGCGAGAAGGGGTCACGGAATTACAAGTGAGAACTTAGAGATGCAGGACGATGATTCGTTTAAGCACGCACATTATTTTGATGAGGTAATAATTATTGGTAAATTTCTGGTCCAAAGGGCTGCTAAACATTTTCAGAGTATATACTTATTTATGTATACCTCACATATTCTATGTTGTTTAATGTTTCTCAGGACTTGTCATTGGGATTGTGCTTATGGTTGGAGGTCTATATAGTGCATGTGATACTTTCATACTTGATGTTTTGTTTTCATTGACACTTGGTTTTCGTTGTATGTTGAGTAACCGAATTACTGAAGTTTTTGGTTAAGCATGTCAAGTAGCACATTTGAACATATTCCTTGCGGTAAAAAATAGAAGCATTTTTCTCTATCTAATCTTAGTTCAAAATATAAGTAACTTAATATATGCAAAAATAAAAACAAAAACAAAAACAAAAGAAAAATGCTACATTTGATCCCTACACTTTGTTTTTTATATTGCAAGTTCCTATACTTTTCTCTACTTGTAACATTAGTCCATGCATTTTTAGAGAGACATTGATGTGGCATAAATAATATTAATAATGCTAACATATCAATTAGCATAATTAATTTTATGCATACATGTCAAATTGATGTAGATTTGAAATTTTTTAATAAGTAAAAATAAAAAAAAGCCTATATTAGATAAAATAAAAAAGGTGGCCTGGGCTTTTTAAATGATTAGCCAAATGCATAAATTCCATGTATATGCTTTTCTTTTAAAATGTTTGCTTATTAATACTTTCATGTCAACACAAATTTGACATGCAAGTACAAAATTAACTATGTTAATTTGACATGTTAGCATTATTGATATTATTTGTGCCGCGTTAACATTTCTTTGAAAATGTATGGACCAACATTGTAGGAGTAGTATAGGGACTTGGAGAATTAAAAAAAAAGTATAATGATCTATAACAAAACTAGAGTAAAGTGTAAGGACCAAAAATAGTATTTTTTCAAAAAAAATTCTCATTTTACCCCTTATATTTTATTTACCTAGATCCTTGTATATATAAATTTATCTTTCAATCATCATAAAGTGCATTGATAATTGAGACTAAAGGTAAAAAGAAAAAATAATATATATTTATAAGAATGAAAACTTTGTTGATATGTGATTTTTTTAAACAAGTGCTTATATTTTGGACTAGAATGAGTATTTTTCCTGTGAATTATAATTTCATAGTTGTATTAACTTGTGAACCATATATAAATTCTTTCCTTTGCTTACTATATATGTTGTTTTGTTGTTATTTTTGATAGAATATGTATAATATCTCTATTGGGATGTCTAGTGTAAATTAGTTTGACTTGGCATAGAGAAAAGTCCCTCATCCAAGATAATTGGATAAGAGAAGAGATATATAAGTTGAAAAGACCCACAAATTCAATGTAATTTCATCTTCTTCTCCTCTTTTTCTAATTTGGATAGTTAATAAGAAAATCGATTTAGGTGCATTTTGAACATGTGCAAGGGAGGAAATTAAAAACACCCCATGATTTTACCTACCTTGGAAAGTTTAGAATATAAGAAGGAGGTATTCACAAAGTCTCCCAAGGTAGGGGTCAATTTTTTATGTGGCATAATGAAATTACGATGAGCTGAGATCCAAAAAAAAAAAAAAACTTACTATAGAATAAAAAATTAAACCTTCTCCATGTCGGATTAGTGAGTGTGAGTCTCTGACTTTTATAATATAGGAGGTTTTAACTCTGGTATATTCATATTTTATTCACATTTTCCAATTTTTGATGGGTTTAACTTAGGGAATGAAAGAATTTGAAAATATGTGATTTAACTATGGCCAAATCAGATTGAAATTGGACAGCCTGGTGCAGTTATGTGAGTGAGTTTACATGACATATACAGGATCCACATATCATGGAAGGGAGGCACATGGAAACCAAAGCGTATGAATCAGAATCGTACAATATGCTCAACAATTTAGACCCGTATCAGTTTCTGGACTACAATCGTCCCGTTGTTTCAAGTGCCATTGGTGGGTTTCAACAACAAGCATTGGGAAGCTAAGCTAAAATAGACAGCTTCAACTTTCACGTTTTATTTTTTAATATTCTTAAGACTGGAACTATTGAAAACTAATTGTTCTTTAGTTGGATTTACATTGTACTTGCTCCTGTTTTTTTTGTTTATGAGTCACATTTCAAAAGGTTTTCTTGGTTCTTTATATAAGTAGTTTTTCCTTGTTTTTCCTAACATTTAATACACAATTCTAAAAATACTCTCCAGCAAATTCTTAAAAAATGAAATATTTTAATTTTCAAGAAAAATCTTCTCACATATCAAATCACTCTTTTTAAATTTAGGGTAAAATTGAAAAATAAATTATTCTAAAGACAATTTTATTATTTTAACTAACTCATTTTAATTTTGATGAGTTAGTTATAAGGAGAGTGACTTATGAAAAGAATCAAAAGGGAGTATTGTGTTAGTGAAATGGATTACCAAATAAAGAAAAAATGAGCTCAAATTAGACCACAAGAGCTCAGAATAGGTTTTCGTGGGGTATGCCAAACTTATGTGATAATAGAAGGTAGGGGTGTTTAGGGTTGTACCTATGCTGGTTGGCCCATACCTTTCTCAATCATGTCAAGACAAGGTTTGTTCTAGCTTTAAAAACATTTATGCAATGAGATGGGACTCGAGATATCCTTTGATATATATATACACACACATTTCTTTTATTATATATGTTAATTATTATATTATTTTTATTGTATATTGGTATATATTTTCTGTTTATTTTTACTTAATTTAATTTTCAAGTTGTGAGATGTTTTTTTCATAATTATTGATATTGATTTGAGGAATTAAAAATGCAAATCCACATTACTGCCATTCAAATAATCTAATGAGTTTATTTTTCAACTCTATGCTTGAGCTTGGTTGATCTTGTTTATTATAATGAGTTAATAATAGGCTCTAACTAAATAGTTTGCACATGTACATAAGCTCTTGTATTGGGATGTCTCATGTCCTTATATTTATATATTTATGTGTTGAAACTTAATTGATTAATTATATATATATATATATATATAAGTATGATTCTTTGTGTTATTTGAATATTAATAGTCATTTAAAGATACAAGGATGGTTAAAGCGAGTAAGGATAGTTACTAAGGCATCCTGGTCTAATCATCTGTCTCAACTATTATCGAGATGGGACAATTTTCAAGATAGTATGAGACGAGACATGAGGATAAAATTTGACCTTCAATCATTTTTCAAGGTGAGACACGGAATGAAGGTGTGATCCCATCTTATCTCGTGAACAATCCTAGGAAGACAAGCAAGCCACTAAGGTGGGCCCTCCCCATCTAAAATAATTCAAAATCAAGTGAATGTGAGTATTGGCAGATCCAAACTTGAACAAGTGGCCGGGGAGCTGAAAAGATAAAAAAATTCGATATATCTTTTTTACAGAGCAAGTCATCGGTTCCATAAAATTTTATTAATTGCAAATTAAACATTCAATTTTATGCTTTCATGTGTATGTTTTTCTAGTTGCACTATTACAGAATCAATTAAATATACTATCTCATACTTCTTGTTTATTTTTTTAAAAATGACAAATAAGTAGAAGCAATGGAAATATTTGACAGTTATTTGATAATACTATCAAATATGTAAGTGTATAAAAGACTATCAAATAGATTTTTTAATGAAAAATAAATATTTATTTGATGTTGGTTTAGAAATAACTATCAAATATATCAAGTATATATTTAACAATTATCATGTAACAAGAGTCAAATATAGAGTACTTAACTTTTTATTTTGAAATAATCATAGAGCATTAAGTTTTAAAAACCCCCTCAAATCCTATCTCATCTCTCATTTGGACTATGTGAATGAATATAATATGATATGAGATTTAACTGGACATGGCTTTCAAGGGATACATTACACTACATTTACACATCACTAGCTAACACAACTATAACGACCAAACAATCAAGTCAAGATCAGTCAGAGAGAAGAAATGGCAAATACGTACCAATAAGTAGGTTTTAAACTAATCTTGGGGGGAAAAAGAATAACGACACATGGCCGAACACAGAACACCAAAATATTCAATGCAATGCTAGCTCCAAATACACAACAATTATGCTCAATAATTGAAGTCAAAGGTTACTCCAGCAGGTCAACAGTGCAAGTGCATACAATTTGAGCCCAATTTCAATAATGATGATTTAATAGTAATATTAAAAAAAATAAAAACATGAAAGTTGTTGCTAGCTTTTTGTCTGAGCTTCCCAATCCAATAAAATGAACCTGAAATTGGGCGATTGTAGTTTTAAAACTGAGAAGAGTCTTATAATTGTTCAGCATGATGATGTGTGAATTCATATTTTTTGTATCCATATGCCTAGCTCCCTTCCATCACATGGCCATGCGGATCCTGTAAATTTAATATCATGTAACTCACATTTATGTAATTGCATTAGTGTGTCCAAATTTAATCTAATTGAATCATAAATCGCAGATTTTTCAGAAAATAATTTAACGTTTGCTACAAAACTACATTGATTTCTTCGCAACTTCATTCTGCACTATAAAAAAACTAACTATTAGATAAACCATTCTTTTTGAAATTTCATTTTATAACTTCCTTAAGTATCCTTCTTAGCCTTCTTCCTCTATCTAATTTTATTATAGGGTTAGTTAAAGACCTTTTGATCATTTTTTTTTCAGTGGTAGGCTCGTTTATAATTGTGGTGAGACTTAAATCATACTATAAGTATATACAACATTGAGTACTAAGAGATGAAAGAACACTTTGGAAAAGTTTAGCTGCCCTTTGGACCACACAAATTGACCAATAATTATACATTATCATTACCTGATTAGTTTCCAAGCGAGTTTGCAGGTGAAGGCTTTGGAACTTCAAGAGTTTGTGGTCCAATTCCACCATCTTTTTCTGGTACTTGCTGTTTTTAAGAATGTTCCACGATCCTATATAAGCGGAGCTCTCGACAACCAGCTTCTTACCCTCTTCCATCATTCTTCTTAAGCTTTCTGCAGATTCACTTAGATCTGATGATCCTATCTCCTCCAGCACCGGAACTAGTGATTCCATAGTAGCTTCCAGTTGTTCAATTGTCGTTTCGAGCCTACCAACGTCGTTTATGACCATCACCACACCACTGTCAGAATAATTTTCAAGCACAGACGAAACACCATCGCCAACGAGTGCAGCTGTGGCAAAAATGGCCTTCTTTGTTGCAGCTCTGGTAATTACTATAAGTAGAAACGCTGTGACAAAAACGACTTTCACTGTTCCGACCCCGATAACTATAAGGAGAAAGGCCAACAAAATAAGTGCAGGTATGCGAAGTCTCAGAACTAAAAAAGCTAAGGCCAGGGCAGCTCTGCGACATCTTGGTACTCTGAAATCATCATCTTCGTCATCATCCAAGGGATCAATGAAGTCTTCGAATGAACTTGTAGTGGAAGCTCTAACACATCGAGTCGTAGTAGTTGCAGATGTTAGGGTTTGAATCTGATCAGCAAGATGGTTGACTTTCTCATGTAGAAGGTTGACCTCAAGAAATGTGCCTAACTGGATATGTTTAGTGATGAACCTGGTGATCTTGTTGTCCAGCTCTGTCAGCTTCTTCTGGTAAATAAACTTGTTGATGAAGTCCCATTTTCCTAAGCGATCGCACTTGAAAACCAGGTCCGCGCCTTTCTTCATGATTGATTGTAAGCGTTCTACTTCACGCTGATCCCTTCGCTTCAGCTTTATGTTTACTTGTTTGATACCTTTCACCATGGAAGCTAGATCTAGGAGTGTATCATTCAGGTCATGCAATGTCTCTTCGAAGCCTTTAATACGATCCTTGGCTTCCTTCACCACATTCCATAATTCTGCAAACGCCGTTCCTACGATAGCACCCCCAACCAGCTCTGCCATGCCTAGACTCTGTAAAAATCAAGAAAGAGCAAACAAGTTCTAAACCATGAGCGATCGATAGTCAACAGTCAACAGTTCTTTTTTTGTCTTCCTCGCTCGTAAGTCGTTTCATCTTGGGATAATAATCATAGATTAGTGCCTCAACTTGCAGATTAATTAACGACGATCGCGGGAGGTTTATTTTTCACATTGTATGCTTGTAATTTTTTTATCAGAAAACCCATTACTTATTGATGGATTCCATGCAGTTTCTGAGTCAACGAGGATAGTTATTTAGTAATTGAACTTGGTCATTCTTTACCCAAAACCAAAAAATAAATAAATAAATAAAAGCCCCACCCACCCAAGTCATGAAAATGATGCACAGGCTTATCCTGAATATATGAGCAAACTGATATGTTTTTTTCTTTGTCCTTCTAACTCAACAACTATTAATTAGAGCTGGAATGAGTTGGGTTCTCTTATAGATTAATAATTAACTTGCAGACTATGGACATAGAGGGACGTTCAGTTTTCACACGTGTATGCTTTTAATTTTTTATCAGAATTGTTGGATCTGAAGACCATTTGTTGAAGACCTCAAAAGGCCTCTTTCGGGGTCGAATGTATATTCCATTTCCACATGTGGTTTCGCAGTCAACATACGAAATTAAAGCATTTAGAAATTGAATTTTTCAGAAATCTCCGATCCTTTCCCCACCAACCAAACACTGGGCAGGGGATAAAAGCTTTCCAAATTCAACGGCATGCTATTGTCATTAACTCAGTGACTTGCTGGGAATAATAGCAAGGGACAATCTCTCAACAATCCTTTGAGTTTATTGTTAGCCAAAAAAGGTCGTAAGATTTTGAATTCTCCCTTCACACTCAAGAGGCCTAAATGAAAATAAAATTTAAGGGAGAAAAAGACGAAAATAACCCTGTTGAGAGAAAAAGAATGCGTCGATTATTGAAAGTTTAAAAACCGAAATTTAATTATAGTCATGAGAGGAAATGAGTCCTTCTGTTTGTTTCTTCTCATTCCTTTTGGAAATTCTTAACTCAAGATTATTGACAAGTAATCATAAATAATTAACAAGCTATAATTGGATAATTAACAAGTTTGAAAATTTGACGGGCCAAATGGTGGTCTTCTTACAACAATTCATGCATTCGTATATTGACAACTATATATAATTAGTCAAGTTCTTCCTTTCAATTATGTTTCCTTTCCTCTCAACGAGGCTATTTTCATCTTTTTTTTCCTTAAATATTATTTTTACTTAGGTCTCTTGTATTTGCGGAGAGAATTCAAAGACTAATCCGAAACCTTAACGTATAGGATTATTATTAATAATAGTGGTTTCATAGTTATCTCAATGATACTTTTGATATATTTATTTAATATGATTATATATTTTAAGATTCAAACTGAAAACTTAAAGATAAACTGATTCAATTTTCTAGACTAGTGAAACCAAACAGGTGAAATGTTTATGACTTTATGTTTTGTTGTTCGTACTCTAAAATGAGAATGAAAGGACACACAGAGAACTAGAGAAGAGATGGGCCGAGTAAAATGAGCCAATAGGTCCAATAGCTTAGAAGAGATATGGGGCCTGGGCCCAAAGGCCCCATATATTTTACGAAGGACAATTATTTTTGGAGAAGTCAGTTGTGTTATTGTAAAAACATTATTGAGTACTTAAAATGAAATATTAAAAAAAGAAAAAAGATTCTAGAGTTGTTTTTTTTTTCCTTCCTTCAAGATTCTTCCGTTGAAATATATTTATCTTTATTTACTTACCGTAAATGCTTGCCAGTTTTGTATAGATTACAAGTTAAGAAATGAGATTTAAAAAAAAAAAAAAAGCTGCTTTGCACTATGGATCAATTGTTTGGTTCGTAATTACTTTCACTCGCATTTCTTGGTTTTATTTTCTTCAGTCGTATATATAAGTTGTTTTTCAGAAGTATTTAATGATTAGGAATATAAAGGTATGTTTGGTTTCTGTTTCCTTTTTTGTTTTGTAAAACTATTTTATAGTACATTTTTAAAATTATTTTTTAAAACAAAAAAAATGAAAATATATTTGGTAATTTTAATTTAATAACAGGTTTAGAATTAAAATAAATAAATTGATAGTAATAGTTGAAAGCGACTAATGCTGGTTTGCAAGCAACTAATGCTGGTAATTTATGATATAAATTAATTGAGCTAACCAAATTTTTAAATGATCTATGTTTTTTAAATCAAGAAAAGTAAAATAAAAAATTAAGGTGTTTTCATTTTTTCGTTTTTAAAATAAAAAATGAGAACTAAACTTAAAACACTTATTTAAATAAATTTTTTTATTTTATTTTTTAAAAATAAAAAATACTATTTAAAAACAGAAATCAAACAGGCCTTAAATTCATTTTACAAAAGTTTGCGCAACATTAATGAATTTGTTACAAATTTGGCCTTCTTTCCAATTTCTAATGAGGAGATAAAAATTATTTATTTTTTTAAATTTATGGTATTCTTGAAGTAAAAAAGGAAATCAAAGCAATTTTCAGGTAATTTTAAATTTTAATTTAATGATGTAACTAATTTTTCTTAATTCATGTTAATTAGTTATAAGTAATTTATAATAATGATAAGAGGGATCGGAGTATATTTATTTAATTTATAAGTTTTTCCCTTATTTCTCATTCTCATTTCCTGATTTTTATCAATGTTGTCTTCATAACATGGATGGATAAGAAAGTTAATTTAGCTACGTACTACCATTTGGATTGAAAAGTGGCTAAATTAATTATTACGTCATCATAATGTACGTTCTTGAACGCTTCCTTGTCATTGCTGTTGCAGTCATCACTTGCTTTGTCATGATTCTTACTAGTCGCAGGCAGATTAAGACTACATACGGAATCACACAGTCCCACACCAAAGTCATGACAAATCGTGCTCATTCTTATCCAAGTCCTATATGGGAGCATATTTTTTATTAAATTTGAACATCTTTATCCAGTTTCACTGTACTGAATATAATGGCCCACGGAAAAAATAAATAAATAAATAAATAAATAACAATAGAAATGAAACATACATGTAAATGAATTGAAATAAATTTTTATTTAATATTGTATTTATATTTTGAAAAGACTAAAATATCCCTAAAAATTTAAAGAAAAAACCATTGAACATCCAAATCCAACACACATGAAGCTCCGGCCCTTCCATTTCTCTATCAAGCACTCTCAAATTGTATCTAAAGTGAGATGGGTGTGGTGTTGGAAATGATGGATCTGAGTCTGAAGAAGAAGATAGGCAGACATTGAATAAGCTATGTGTTTAGGTTTGATGGGTTTGGTTTGGAGTTGGGAAAAGAAGCAACCTAGCAGACATTAACCTAATCCATGAAAAGTCTTTTGCAACTAATAGTCAATCCAAGGTATCACCTTCAATCCAACTAATATTCAATCCATTATTAAAGTGATCCCAACTCCACACATGAAATCAGAGCCAAACCTTCGAGCATCAATTCGAATTAGGTGGAGATGCTGTTTGAGAAATTAGAGTAAGTGTTGCTGTGCCCAATCTGAGGACCGTCGCCATCATTGCCGACGAAGGACCATCATTGTCATTGCTAGCAGAGCACTGCCACTATCACTGGGAGAGAGTTAGTGACCAGCTAGCAAGAACATGGAAGAGGGAAAGAGAGGGTAGGGATATAAAGAGGTCTAAAATGGAAACAGAACCCAATTCCTTGGGTTGATGGATGAAAATGATCACTTTTATCGAATTTGATGGAACTGACTTTCATTGAGAACTGGCTTCCAACCTATCAAACAAACAAAATTAATTATTTCACTTTCACTTTCCCTTCTCTCCTCTTAATTTCTTGTTACCAAACAGGCCATAAATACTCAAGTGGGGTATGAATTTTGTTTCTATTCTTAAGTTTCCTATTATCAATCTTTTTGTATGAAAAACCCAAGCGTTTTAAACTCCACTCGATTAAAGGTTACTCATTCCTATCTCTATTAATAAAAGGCAGTCTAACTACCTCTTTGGAGCTAAAATTAAGAAAGGATGGTTAAGTCATAAATTCTATATAAAAATATAATAAACTTTCAATACTATCTCTAAATAATTTTTTAAAATTTACATTACGTTTTTTCGTATAATTAATAGATTTAAATAAAAATAATATTAAAAATATAATGAATATTCCATAAATTACCCTATATCAAGTACTGAAAAATATTTTTTAAAAGGCATCATATAATAGGGACCAGTGTAGTACATACTTTTTTCAAACCATAATATATGACATCTTTTATAAGCCTTGTTTAGTTCAAAATGAAGGGCGTTGAATTACTTTTATATAATTATTTTTTTAACTATGCTTCTACTTCATTTATTATTTTTTAAAAGAAATTGATGCATTGAGATTTTAATTATCATTACCAATATATTTAAATAGGGCATTTAATGAGGGTAAAATTAAAAAATATAATTTTAAAAAAAAATTAAAACTTCAGTTAACATGTTTTTTTAAAACTGTGAATTAATTATCAATATTTTATATTTTGATCTGGCAGGATTAAGTTGGATATACTTACATGTTATGAATCAACAAGATCCTGACATAATCATTGACTAGATTTTCTAGTGGCAACACTATCCCCTTCTCTTAGAAAATGTTTGGGATTTTAAACATGGGATTGACATGTTTGTTTGCATGCATAAACGAATCTCCCAGCCCTTCACGGTAAAAACCTCTTTTTTACAGCTCATAGGTGTAAAAAGGAGTTAGATTAGGGGTAAAAAAATGTTTAAAAAAAGAAATTCTGACATGTACGGCAAAATTAGTATGAGCATGAACACTCATCAAATTACGAGGAATCTCCTCGTAGCTTCATTCCAGATGAGTCGTATTCATCAATTGTTGAGAGTAATTTTTCTTTCTTTCCCAGTCATTGGACCGTGATCCTGGAGACCACTTCCTGCCAAGTAAAACCCGACCATGAATTACACATCACTCATCTTATGAGCAATTTCCTCTTAGCTTCCTTGTCCTTGTCCTCACAATATCACGCCTTTGAGAATGATTTTTTTTTTTCCTCTCCTATTTAAGTTATATTAATTTTTTTTAATATCGAGTTCCTTCTTTTATCTCTTGATGTAAGGGAGTGTGTTATCAAGATAAGAATTCCCACCAATTCTATTTATAAATCATTTTTAATATATTTTTAATTTTATTTATTAATCATCATTTGAGTTAGATTCCTAATTTTTTTAACTATCCAATTAATATTCTCAGTGTATGTCATTAAAGTATCTCAATTGTAAAGATATAAAAAAATTCAATTGCACTTGTAGACTACATTTATAGCCACTTGACCGCTTAAAATAAGAGATTTAAAAAGTGTGTAGAAAATATAGTACTATCAGATAAATTTAAAATGAAAGCACATCTTAAAAGATTAATTTATTAATTGAAAGATTATCTCACATCTATAGTAGTTTGAAAGATAATTCTCCCTTGTAATGCAAGAGTTTGCTGTATAACGTTTATAATGAGCCGGTTATTAAAAACGCACGTCGTGACAAATTCACGAATTTAATATAATATTTTAATTCTGAATTAATGAATGGTTGTTGGTTATTACCCTTTGATTTATCAATGGGAACTGATGATTTGAAATGAAGAATCCGTAAATTTTATAAAAATTTGTTTTTTTAATATACGTTCTAAAGGTAATAGTATAAATTAATTAAATTTGAATTAGTTAAACTTTTAGCTACTCTTTCTGATATTATTTATAAATCATTTCTAACATATTAACCGAAAACAATGAAAATCTTAAACATTATTAATTTTATTTTAAAATTTAATAAATTTTTAAATTTATCTCTCATAAGAGGGAAAAAAATTTTTAATAATTTTTTTAATATTTAATATAGGGAGAAAGTAAAAATAAACATAAAAAGCAATGAAATATTCTATAAATATGACTAATAATAATTTTTATCTTTTTGCTTTATAAATAAGACACGAGAAGTAATTTATCAAATAAGTTTCAATAAATGTTCATTAATAATTAATAATTTTTGAAATGAGCGGTCTGCCTAACAAAAACAAACAGCGAAATGGAGTTCATGGTTGTAGCAAAACATCCATTTACATGACTTTAAATTACAATTTAAATTACTCTCACATCCATTCACATGACTTTAAATTAAAATTTACATTACTTTCAGGCAAGTCATTATCATACATGAACACCTTCCAGTCGATCATTTTCACATACTCTCATTGAAAGACAATGAGGACGACGAAAGCCTTCTGAATCAAGATTCAAGACCAAGTATCTGGATGAAACCATCGAAGCTTACGCCGTCGTTTCGGTCACCACCACCGAGTGAGATCATATCGTCGATATCTTGGTCGGTGACGGTGAGCCCAGCCCACTCCATGAAGCATTTCAGATCAACATGGCTAAGCTTGCCGTCGCCGTCGTGCTTGTCCATCACTCTGAACACTTCCTCAATCAATCCACCGCCCCACGGGCTTTTCCCACCGCCCGCCATTTCCAACACGTTCTCAAACTCTTCATACTCCACAAACCCGTCTCCGTTGGTGTCCGCCGCCACCATCATCGACCCTATCACGTCGCCTTTATTGGTTTCATGGTGGCAAAACCCGCCGTAGGACGACTGAAGGTCGTTGTGGCTTATTTTTCCATCACGATCAACATCGAGCACGTCGAATGCTGGTCGGAAGAGTGATCTGGTGGCGGCGGCGTTGGCGGAAGACGATGAAGCACCTCGAGGACGGAAGTTCCGGTGGCAAGGACACATTGAGAAGTGAGAAAGAGACAGGACACAGAGAGAAAGGAAATGGGCCGAGTAAAATAGATAGGGCTGACAGGTCCAATAGCTTCCAAAAATAATGGGGCCCACAGTCCCTTCATATTTTCAGAAAGTCGTGGGTTTGGAAAATGTCCATTGTGTTTAAAGCTGAGAATATCAATCGAGTTATGCAAGTTGACTTAAATAATCAATCATAAAAATTAAGTTGAGTTAAAAAAAATAACTTAAATAAAAATATATTTTTTAATTCGAATCATATAATCTGTAAATCATATAAGTTAAAGTTAACTTGTTTAATCAATATTATTTTTTAAAAAATAAAAAAGAAAAAAGAGGAAATTTTATGAATATAAACCATATTAGGCATGATTTATTTAGTTGTATCAATTTATATATCTTGTAAAAATATTATATATTAATATTTTGGTATATTTAGAATGAATCATAAAGAAATATCAAATTAAAATTTATTATTTAAATATATTTTTAAAAAAATTATAAAAATAAATAAAATAAAATAATAAATTGACGAGTTAGCTTATTTAGCTTATCAACCCTCAAGAGTTGGGTTGAGTTAAAATTTTTCTAGTTCATATAAAAATAAATTGAACCCAATCCAATCCATATTTCTTTCAACCCATATAAGTCAACTCATTTGAATTAGGTTGGTCTATATTCTCACCTCTAGTTGTATTATTATAAAAATATTCTTAATTTTTCACAGATGTCAACAAAAATACATATTCCTTGAATTTTTTTGTCATTATTTTAAAATAAAATATGATATCAATGTATCTACAAATGTGTAATGTGTTCGGTGGCTTACAGGAGGATAATCATTTTTTGTAATTAAAATAAGATATTTATATTTTTTTAATTAACTAAAAATAGAAAGTATCGTTGTATTTAAGAATATTACTTAATTATGTAGTAGTAAATAATTTATTTCATCAACGTTATGTTAATATAACTATAAAATTAATATAGATAATCGTTAGTCTTACATAATATAATTCTATAAGTGATTTTTTCTTCATGCTTTTCCTCCTCTTTTTTTTTTTTTCATCGAACCATTAAATAATTTTATAATCCTTAAATACAACGATTATAAAATGATTATCCGATAAGATATTTATAAAAATAAATAAAATAAAATAATAAATTGACGAGTTAGTTTATTTAGCTTATCAACCCTCAAGAGTTGGGTTGAGTTAAAATTTTTTTAGTTCATATAAAAATGAATTGAACCCAATCCAATCCATATTTCTTTCAACCCATATAAGCCAACTCATATGAATTAGGTTGGTCTATATTCTCACCTCTAGTTGTATTATTATAAAAATATTCTTCATTTCACAGATGTCAACAAAAATACATATTCCTTGAATTTTTTTGTCATTATTTTAAAAAAAATATGATATCAATGTATCTACAAATGTGTAATGTGTTCGGTGGCTTACAGGAGGATAATCATTTTTTAACGATTATAAAATAATTTTTATCCTTTATACAAGTTACTTTATATTGTTTTTTTGTAACATTTAATGCACAATTTGAAAAATACCTTCCACCAAATTCTTAAAAACAAGTAGTTTTATCCTATTAAGTGAGGTCAGCTATATAGATTATACAATGTTATTGTGCTTTATCATTATTAAATTTTTAAAAATATTGTTAATTAAGAAGTCTCTATCAATAACTTTTAAAAGTGTCCTCTTTGATGGGGTTCAAAGTTATCTTTTTCACATTCCTCACAAGTATCTCTCGTAATCTTCTTTGTACATGTTCAAATTATTTTAAATAATTTTCTACTATTTTTTTCAATAGATAATATATCCACTTTTTTTTATCAAATTCTTAAAAGAATAGCAATATTCTAATTGCCAAGTAAACTTTGTTGGCATGTCAAATCATTCTTTTAAATTTAGGAGCAAAATTGAAAATTAAATTATTTTTAAAACAATTATATTATTTTAATTACCCTTAATTGATTGTAATGAGTTAGTTAAAAATGACTTTAAAGAATCGGAGACACTACTTCTTTAAAAGTTGAACTTTTTTTCCTTCAACAGTATAAAAAAAACAATCAAACCTCAGAGGTGCAACAACTTTACAGCTCCAAAAGAGGTAAACAAGGAGGAAAGAAAAAACCTTTTTTTTTTTAAATACAACTGGTAAGCATATGAATGAACAAATTCATCATTGCTTTCCATTCAAACAAGTGCTTGAACTGGGGTTGGTGGGGTGTGCCAGGCCCGTGCGACAGTGCAAGGCAAGAGCGACACTTGAGGACCCCAGCAGCAAGCTGCTGTAGTGGGCCTTCCCCCTAGAAAAATAAATTTAATATCATGTGGACCAATGACCCACGTATCAGATATTAAACTGATAAGAACAGATACTACACTTGATCTTAGCCAAAAGGCCGAGAAAGGTATGCTTTGGTGGGCTGGTTCGCTTGGCACTTATAGCTGCTGTTCGCTTGGCTCACAGCCTTAATACGCGATGTGGGACTTGGTTTTAGACTTTGCCCAAAGCCTTTCATTCACAGTACTGTAGAAAGTGATATGAACTCTAAACAAAAAGTATGTATGCATTCTGATAAAAGAAGAAGAAGTATGTATGCTTCTGCTGCAATTTTCATCTCTCTTCTTCCTTGTTGCTGTTTGAGCTCTTCTGAGTTATGGGTTAGATCTTAGATTCTATATTCTCATGCGTGAATCTGCGTATGTGTTCCATTGTGATTTTTACTCTCCATTTTAAATTCTTAACGTTCTGAACCTGCCAAGAATAAAATCACTCGGTTGAAAGAAAGTTGGTATTTACTCTTTGCTTTTTATTGAGCTGTGATGATAAACTGAAAATATGCAGATGCATCCAAGAAGCTGTAAATGTCCAGGGCAAATTTCTCTACAAAGTTGTTTTAACAATCTTCATTATCATCAATGTTATCATCAACAATTTCAGAGGTAAATTCATGAATTAAAGCACTATTTTCAGTTGTGGTAAATGGCATAACTGATCTATTAGATGAAATATCTGTTAGGTTTGCTATCGATACTAATAATACTGTCTATTGCTGACTATTTATAACTCAAAAAATTGATAAATTCATGCAATATTTTTTTGAAAAAACATAAATTTAAATCCTTACACTTTGATCAATTTTTATTACAGGTACCTGTACTTTTTTTGTATTATAAGTTCCTAAAATACTGCTCATAACTGGATATAAAACATTGAAAAATAAAAGTGTATATATCTAGAACATCAAAAAAAAAATACAGAGGCTTATAGTAAAATTTGAGCAAAGTGCAGAGATTCAATGTTATACTTTTCTTTTATTGTTTTTAATGCAAAATGAGGCAAGCCAAAACAAATTTATCAACCAACAAATTAGAGCCGAACCTGTAAGTCCTGTTTAAATAAGGGTTAAGACTTTATAAGTTAATTTTTTTTAAGTAACTTGACTTAAGGGCCTGACCCTAATAAGCCTTGTAAAAAAGAGTTTGAGTCTGGGTAGCCCTTCAAGCTTTAATAAACTGGGTTATCTTGTGTATATATACACATACATACATATAGTTGACTAACAATGATAAAATTTGGTTAATATATATTGTATGCGATGAAGAAGAAGTTGCATAGATCATTGACATTAAATCTTTACCTTCATCTTCAACGAGTAAATCTACATCTAACGAATTTAATATTTTATTTTTAAACGATGATGATGAGGATTTAGATTTACATTGGTGAAGATTTTAATCTTCATCTTAGATTTAAAATTTTAAATCTTTGTCAAATTTTATGTTGAATTTTATGTAAAACTTTAATTTATTTTATGTTGAATTTTAAAATATTTTGTTTAAATCAAAATGTTGGATTTTTTAATTTAGAAGGATTGGGATTGGTAGTAGAAGTGGGATTCAGAGTGGGAGTGAAGTTTTATAATTATGTTTGGTATAAAATAATTTTAAGAGGGAATACTACTTTTATTTTATTTTATAATTAAACAAAAATATAAAAATACTATATTACCCCTCAAAACATAAATTGAATATTTTGTCTTTATCATCTGAACACTCTCTTCCCTAAAAACAGAACGTCTATGGTTGTGGAAGAAAAGTTGTTTCCACTGGTTATCTGCATCGTCTTCTTCCTCTTCTTTTTTCTTCTTGTTGCTCTTATCCTCTAAAAGAACATCCATGGCCACACAAGCGAATCTCATTTTTGCCCTCTCCTCATTTTTTTCCTTCTGGTCTGAACTAAGAAATGAGAACAGCAAGGATGTAGATGACGGTGAAGTCAATGATGGTGGCAAGATCAAGTGACCGTAGCTCAAGTTCAGATGACGTCGTCGATCGTTCTCCTCCTTCTCTAATCTTCGATCTCCTCCTTCTCCTTACAAATCTAGCAATGACGTTAGCGGACATGAGATTGGCAATGACGGAGGAGACGCTGGCGTTGCTTGGTCTAAAAGGAGGGCAGAGGGAAGGAGACTTTAGAGAGATAGGGGGTAAATTGGTTTAAAAATAATCAATCCTAGTATTAATCTTCCAGTACCATAGGGGTAGTGGTATTGAGTAAACCCATTTAAATGGGATTGGTATTATGATTAAATTCCTCATTCTTTCATACCAAACATGAAAAGGTGGAATTATTTGATACCAATCTCAAGCCCACCCTCCCATTCATTCTTACCAAACATGACCTAAGAGTACTCTCTTATATCTTAATACAATTATGGCAAGAGCTTTCCTGTAGGCTCGAGCAGAATAGTACACTTATAACTCAAAATAATTTCACATTTGGCAAGCCAATTAGCCCTCATGTTATTTTCCCTGAATTTATGTCTCACAGTAATCTGTCACTCCTTGGCGTGCCTCAATTGCCAAACTATAAAATTGTATCAATCAACTACTTCAGGCCACATATTTAACATATTTACAAAGTCACATTCCATTCATGAATCTTAATTACAAAAAGAAATATGTGACAATATTAAAAGTAAATTCATTATTTAATCACTGAGCAAAGGAATTTCTTGAAAGAAAATGTGGTACAGGCATTGAATGAATTAAACCAAACCTTCTTTTTTTTTTACATATAAAAACCAAACTTTTCAAGGAAAAATTCAGGAACAGGCTATGAAAACCAAATCGTGTATTGGGCTTTGCCATGGGCTCAAGGCCCATAGGCAGTTGATGGATCTGAAATTTCAAAACAGCTTGGAGGGGCTGATCATCGTGATTATCAAGTTACAAGAAGGATACTTTAGACATTTCAGAAGCTGCAAACCCTAATTCAAAAAAACGTTCCACTATATATTCTGAAAGAACCCGAGTCGATCAAAAAGAGACGCGCCTCTCTCTAGAAGAATATCAAAGCGTCTGTTCTGTTTCCGTGTAATTCATTTTTTCTTGCCTCTTCGAAGGGATGCCTTTGATTCAATGGCGATGAATTGAAGGTTTTATCCCTAATGAATGAGAGAGGAGGCATAAATCGTAGCGCAGGGATGTTGAGTCACTTCACCTTCGTATTCATCTCCAGGTGCAGTGAATAAAGACCTGCCATATCCATGTCGATTCCTTAATCATCCTCTTGACATTTTCGTCGAGTTTTTCTTGATCTAAATCTTCTTTGTTTGGTTTTTGATTGTGTTTGTTTCAAGATTTCTATGTTTGATTAGAATTAGAGTTTTTCTACGCTTCTGACTTGATCATCTTTTGTTCCGATCCCGTGATGGCATGGAATCTTTGAGACCTGATCATCTTGTTTGATGACAGCTATAAGCATTATTGCTGAGGATTATCTTTCATCGTCAGTATTTTATCATTCAAAATCTGATTTCAGATTTGTTGTTGTTTAATTTTTCTGGAGGATTTGAAATTGATTTGGATGATGAAATAAGCACTGGGCTCTGAGCATCTAAACAATTTAGGTGCGGAATTGATGCACATTGCTAGCCTAGAAAGCTATGTCTGACTCGTCTTTCTTTCTCTGGAGGTCCTTGAATCTCGATGTTATTCTTTAAGTTGAAAATTTCTAAGTCTTCGTTTGATTTTAAACAGGATTTTGATCCTAAATTGTGTGGTCACTCTATTAAATGAGATAAATCAATTTGTCAAACATTTTAAATTTTGTGAGTTTTTTTCTTACAATACTGATGGAAGTATTTTAGTCTTATATTTTTCATGCTCACTGGGGTCGCATTTTGCCATCGATGAAGCCTTTGATCAATTCAGCAACTCAAATTTATCTTCAGGTTGGAATGAAGTTTTGGGATTGTTGTTCCTCGGAGCTATGTGTGAAGGAAAGAACCAAATAAAATAATAAATATGATTGAGGCTAAAATTGGTAGATATTAATTTATTAATAACTTTGAAATTTGAAATATGAATTTTGGAATATCTTTAAAGGTAATACAATAATAAATTTAATTATTTAAAACAAAATAAAAATTGGGATTTTAATGGCAACAGTTCATCTTTTTAGAAGGATGCTGGGTTGAAAATGGGGTAATATTGCAGAATGAACATACAAGGCAAAATTATTGATTCGTGCGGTTTTGCCTCCAAGAGCTGAAGAGGCAACATATGGGTTAGCTTGAGGTGGAGGAAGTCGAGGTCAATATAAAGTAAGAGATGGATACAGAAGCATTAAAGGGGACAAATTGAGTTTGAAGGATTTCAAGTGGAAAATTATTCGAAAATGGAGAGGGCTTGAAAGAATTCGAGTATTTCTACGGTAGTTGATACAGTATAGATTACATACAAATGAGATTCGAGATCGGGTGCAAGTGGTAATTGTGGAGTGTGTAGAGACTTGGAATTAGTTATGCATGTCATGCGGGATTGTAAAGTAGTAAGGAATCTATAGGGAAGTTTTAGTATGATGTTGCCAAACAGATTCTACACAGCAGACAGGGAAGATTGGTTGATAATGAATTTTAAATCTAAGCAAGTGATTAGAAGCATAACTTGTCCCATAATTTTTGGGGTTGTGTGTTGGTCCATCTGGAAGCAATGAAATTTGAGGGTGTTTAGAGGAGCTCACTCAATGGTCCAAGTGAGGCAAATTTGGGCTTTTGCGGAAGAGATCTGGAAGATAAAAGCTCTGGCATTTCGTCTTATGGGTAAGGAAAAAGAAAATTTGGAGAGTAAGTGGTGTAGGCCTATTGAGGGATGGGTAAAACTCAATACGAATGAGGTTAGTAGAGGTAATTCAGGGAGGGCAAGTTGTGATGGTGCACTAAGGAATCATGAAGGAGAGTGGGTGTGGGGTTTCACGATGGATGTTGGGTGGTGCTCGGCTCTGGTGGCTGAAGGATAGGGTTTGTATAAGGGATTACTTTTAGCTTGGGAGTATGGATTTCGAAAAGTGCAAGCGGAGGTTGACTCACTAGAACTAGTGAATCATTTGAAAGAGAAGATGAAAGCCGATACCTCAGTTGATAGACATATGGTAGAGATTGAAAGATTATTGAGTAGAAGTTGGGAGGTGCGCTTGAGTCATACCTCTCGAGTTGTAAATCTCTGTACGGATCTTCTCGTAAGGGGAAGTTTGGATTTGCAAATCTCATATTGTGTATGGAATAAGGTGCCTTCGTGGGTCGAAGAGACAGTGTGGCTGGAGAAGGAAAGGTTGAAGACTGCGTTTGATCCTAGTTGAGTTCGCTTATGTGTTTGATCCTCTGTTTTGTTCTATTCCTATTTCAAATTTTTGCTTTTGTTTTGGGCTTGACTTTGTCTAGCCTTGCGTGAGCTGTAAGCCTTGGGCCTCTTTTTCTTACCAAAAAAAATAAAAATAAAAATTGAGATTTTGTTTAGTAATGTATTGGGATTGCTTGAGAAAGCCAGTGATTGAAGAAGCCCACGTCACCTGTAAAATCTAATGTACGAAGAAGGAAAGAAGAACCTAATATCAAAAGGAGCCTAACGTAAATAATAAAATATCAACAGTTTCGAAACAAGCTCTTCACTTTTTTAATTTATTACATGAATTTAAAAATATTAAAAATAATGATGTATTAATAAATTAAATTTATATTACATTTGGCTTAACTACCAAATATAATGAATTAATGACCATAATTTTCAACCCAAAAAAATTCTATAATGACCATATTTTTATTTTTTTTACAACATGATATTAATTTGAGTATTTGACTTTGTGTGTTTCCGCCAGCCGACATTTTGCTTTGAACCAAGGCCATGAGTGTGCAATTACAAATCAAACTCAATCTTTATCGCCAAAAAAAAAAAAAACCAAACTCAACTTTGTCTTTTCTCTTTTTTAGACACCTCTTTTTTCTTAAAATAAATTAAAAATAAAGAAAGAAAGAAAATGGGACTCATTTTTGTTCATAAGTTTTAAATTATTAATAAATAAATAATCTGTAAAATTTGATCAACAAAAACAAGTAATATACAAAAATAAAAATGTCATAGTACAGTGCACCGTGACTTCACACGTGACCTGTCAGACCAGTAGCGTTCAGCGAGAAGCATCACGGAAGGGTGATAAGATGCGAATGCTAGGTGTCAGTACAAATTACCATTCGATGAGGTGATCCAACGGTGGAAAAAAATTCAGATGTCGGAAGCCACTCAATATCAGAGCCAGGTTTCGATCCTGGGACCTGTGGGTTATGGGCCCACCACGCTTCCGCTGCGCCACTCTGATTTGTTGACAATAAGTGAACTAAAAGATATATCTATTATAATTAATACACTTCAACCCTTCGCTTTCATCCGTTTGCCGTTAGCACATTTTCAGAATCCCCAGTTGCTAACGTGGGGGAAAGAACAGGAGGAAAATGTCAAAAATGAGAAAAATAGCGGTCAAAAATGGGGAAAGAAAAAATTATTTTAAATTAATTCATTAGAGAAACATGTCAAATACGCAAAAATTAAACATAAATTGACACCCCTACGATGAAAGAACCTGAGGGGGGGGCAAAAAGGAAAAAGATGGAGGGGCAAAGAAAAATGATAATAAACAGATGAGGGGTAGAAAATCTTGCAATTCAATAATTCGCACAACATTTTTATTTATTTGTTTTGTTACTGGAACCAAATGATCATTATGCTCCGTGATCTCAATTTGTAAAGTTTTATGAGTTTTGGTGTGGGAATTTGCAAGGCTACTTCTCCAGCTTGGGATTAACAATACTTCAATTAAACTTGATAATATCAGATAATTGTATCAAACATCATGCATATCCTAATTTTAATTTTAAAAAGTGGAGGTAACATTAATAGTTAGGGGGCTAAATGTTTTAAAACAAAAATATATTATTAATTTAAAATTTTTAAGATTTATCATATTGATTTTATATAATATACTTATGCTCTGTCTAGTCTCTTAAACTATAAGATGCTTTTCAAAAATAAAAGTTGATCTAAATTATAAGATGTCCAGTCAAAATATCAAATACGGCTCCATTACATTATCCCTATAATTTTAATGGTTTTTTGTAACTTGATCAAGGTAGGATGAGATTCTCTTTAATTAATATGGGTTATAATTGAAATATTAAAACGTTTTATTTAGTAGGATAAATCTTCTTGTTTTGTTATTTTTTAATAACAAAGTGAAGAACAATTAAGGAAAATAAATATATCATGGGTTTGGATGATTGACTTTAAAGATAAATCCAATAACAATAAGACATCTAATATTAAGACTACCTGTGTTAATGGAAACACAAAGTAAACCCTAAGAAAAACTATGATCTTTACTTAAATTAGAATTTTGAGTCGTATGAAAATTTTAGAATAAGGGACATACTCAACGCAACTGCAGATAAAATAATTATTAATTAACCTCTTATTGAAAGATGAACAATGGGTTAGTGAAAATTTATTTATAATAAAACCCAAAACACTGGCTTGAGTCTTGACATTTTGAAACAAAGGAGATAACCTGTCATTGTGTGATTATGTGCCATGGAAAAATTATCAATAAGATCAAGAAATTACATTAGTTATTTTCTAAATTTAAAATTCCTTCATTTAGGAAATACTTTAGTCAGTTTCTAGAACAGGTTCTATAAAAACATATCACAATTATTATAACCAAGAAATAAAAAATATATAAGAACATTAATTTATATTTATTTAAAATAAAAAACATTGAATGGAAAATTTCCCAGTTTTTACTTTCCTTTTAAAAAAAACAAAAAAGAAAGAAAAGCCCTTGCGAGCAATACGACGCACATGATGTGACGTGTCAACGCGATACCGTATCTGGAGGGGGTGACGAAATCATAGAAAGCGGATGTCATATGTCAGCACAAATACCGTTGGATGATATGTGGAATAGAGCAGATCTGACGGTGGAAAAAATTAAAGCATCGGAAGCCACTCTTTATCAGAGCCAGGTTTCGATCCTGGGACCTGTGGGTTATGGGCCCACCACGCTTCCGCTGCGCCACTCTGATGTTTTTGAAATTTGTGTAAAAACATTAATATAAAACCTAATACTTTATGACGTTGTCGCCACAACGCAACGTCGCTTTCCTTGGTTTTCCCGTTAACATTTTGCCGAGCAAATGGTACAGCTTCAGATTGCTGGTTCCCTGCGTAAGAGAGAAGAAAGAAGGAAAACGACATGAGAAAGTGGAGGGAGAAAAAAATGTTTTTACCTTTCAATAAATTTCTTTCCGACCAATTCACAAATTAAAAGGCCTAAAAAAAAAAATGGAGGGAGATGACAAAAGAGCTGGGATGAGTTTTCAGAATTGTTGAATTTGGTAGGATGCAAATTAATGTTGTTATACGCTATATCCATCCGAATTTATGCATGAGATTTTTGGAGTGATTTGGTATATTAAAATAAAAGACATTTTGACAAAAATAAAATTTTGTTAATGATGATTTTTTATGTATAAAAAATAATATTTTTTAATATTATCCCTCATTACTTAGCTTCAAAAATAAATTTATTTTCTTTTTTTAATTAACGAAGATTATTTTTAAAATTTTATAAAAAATTTAAAATTGTAAATTATATTTGATAAATCTTATTGACATTTATAATTTTGTTTTTAAAAAATAACATTGACACGAAGTACCTTTGTTTTGTTTTACTCCGTTGGGAGGTTTCGTCCATGATTTTCATGCGAATTATTATTTTGACCGCCCCGGTAAAATTAGGATAAGCAATGAAGCATGTAGTGTACTATCACACCACCAGGGCTTTTAAAATAGCCGTATTAACTTATTTTTAAATTAGGATAAACAATTAAGCATATTGTTTCATCATAAATGCCCCATATGATTCATAAATGGTGAACTATATTTACAAAAAAAAAATAATTTAATTTATAAAATTAAAAATTATGATTCATAAAATTTTTAAAAATATAATAATTTCCACATATAAGTATATAATATTAAATTTAATTATACTTATAAAAAAATTAATTTATTTTAATTTTAATTTTTTTATGCATTTTCATTAGAGATCCAAATATGAGCTTGACTCCTACAAAAATTTGAACACAATTTTACTACATTATAAAGAATTAACTTCTTCACCCGACTATCTAAGTGAAGCGCAGATTTCAGTACAACCCTTAAATTCTTTTTTTTAAAATAAAAACTTGTACTTTTTAGCCAATAAGATGATTCTTTTTATCAAAAGAAAAAAATAAAACAAGGAGGTGCAATCGCATTAAATGATAGACACACAGAGCAGCCATTAAGAAAAACTAATGATCCTTAGAAAAGTTGAACCTTCTAAGGCACGTCACATAGCAACTTAATTTTACCAATAATCAATATGCTGCTTTTTCATGCAGTTATTCAAGTATAAGATATTTTTGGGCCAGCAAAACTCCAAAACTATAATTCTCTTGAACAACTAAATCAATTATCATTAACACTACTCAAAATTCAGCTAATCATTTCTCACAACGAAAATTATAACACCTAAACTCAACCTCAAAATTAACTCCAGAGTAACAAAAACAGTTTATCCACAACAGCTAAAAAATTACACTCTAATTTTCTCCTTCAGACAACCCCACAAAAAAGGTATACATTATATCTAAAATTTTCACTTCTGCTGCAAGAAAAACGAAAATAAGTAAATCTGTGCAAAGCATAAGCTTCCTATCACGTAAGATGCTTTACCATGCGCTAAACTTCCACAGCATTATTGTCAAATAATTTAGTCTGCTCCACCATGAAATTTGAAAAGAGACTGTCATCAAGAAATTCAAATGAACTATAATGGGCGTCCGTAGTATCAAAAATTATTACTACTTTTTTTTTCCTCTTAAATTTCTAATATGTTATGAATTCGAGCCTCATCAATAAGTGGTCTCAGTATCAGCGGCCAAAGGTTCCATATGCACTGTCAAATTGTATATATTCCAGCCGAGTAGCAATGATGTATCTTCTGCTACGGGTACAGTTATCAGAGTGCTGCCCATAAGACTCTTAAAGACACCATGTTTACATTCATATATGTCAGTGATCAAGAGCACTTCGAATGGAAAGTGGAGGGTCTATCACTCTGCCTCTGGATATAAGATCGTGGTTTAAGAATAAAACAATAACAGTTATATCATCGTGAAAATGGCGTCGAACCTTCTTGTCAATCTTGCGGAGGTCTGAGTACCGCATTTCTCGCTTCCTTGCCGCTTCTTGGAGGGCAGCCTTGATAAGTCTCTTGGCACTACCCTGCATTAACAGAAATTACAAGCACCGTAACTTCGAGATAGGCAATATTGGCAATGGACTTACTCAGGACTACAATGCCAATGCACAGCCAAAGAACAAAATG